CTATGATTTATGGAGAGTAAATAATACTCATGGTAATACAAGAATAAATAAAATTCCTAAATCCAAATCACGTCCTGAAAACCCCGATCTACCTGAGGATGCTTATTATTATGACGCTACAACATACGATTCCTCATATCATCGTAGATTAAAACCAGCTTAATTGTTTTCAGGTTTGGTGCTTCCCGTGACCACATATTTAGCCTGGACACATAAAAATTAGTAGACCATGCAACGCATGCCATCTAATTCAATCAGTAAACAACGATGCGTTCATAAACAACGAGTATCTTTGTCCCCTCCACTTTCGGCGGATGAAGACTCGCGAAAGATGTTAGTGACCGATGGCAGCCTAACAGGATTTCTTTTTGTTGACCCATTTCATTGGTCTCCCCAAATATAATCTTCCAATCAAATCAAAATGATTGCTGAGAACATGATGTAATTGTTGCGTGCGTCACAACTATTAATTAATTTCTTCCCCAATCTCTTTGATTCGTGCTGCCGCGCATGACGAGTGATTGCAAAGAATGACAAAGAGCAATATCTGTCCACTCATGTATTTTTATATTAATATTTTATAAAAAATAGATTATGAAATTCGAGATTCGAATCATATCTTATAATAAATTACTATTAATTAAATATATTAATGTATTTAATTATGTTAAATAGTCATTTGTGGAAGGAAGCAAATGCTATATGATAAGGGATCATTGGGTCAATTGTTCATTTTGGATGATAGACATATCCATATAATTTTATCTTTTCGGAGAGTATGTAAGCTTTAAAAAGAAATCTTTGACGGTAAGAGAGACCTCTTGGTTCTTATATTCCTTAACTAATATGAGACTAAATGATTTTATCGATGTTTCCTCCTGTGGATAATATTTTAACGTTGGATGAATTTTTCGAACCATCAACAAAATGTAATATGATCATGAACACCAACGCTATATATATTGATTGTAGTTTGATCACGATATGTAATATGATATTCTCGTATATTATTTGTCTGCAACTAAATATATTAGGTTTGATCACAGTAATTTTTAGATCCATGAATTTCGTTGAATGTAAATAATAATATAAAAAATAAATGTATACGAGTGGATTAGACTTTTTGGACATGAAATAATATTCAACAATCAAATCAGTACTCTAGAAGAATAATTATGAGAGTAAACTAAACAGATAAGGATTTGCCAGCGAAATGCCACGTGTTTTGATGACAACATCGATTGTCCTCGTCATTCCGGCCAAAAGATGCCGTAATTGACACGTACTCAGAGTCTTCGCCGCATTCGACAAGCTAATAAAATATATTATTATAGCTTGAAGATTTGCATCCTCACCAAATTGAAACACATGTTTATTTGTTTCAATAAGGCTTCTCCTTTTTCCTTAGAAAAAAGATAATTCAGCTTAACTAAATTTTAAGTCCCCATTAGATAAAGAAGACTCGTCTTATGTGACATAAAAATAAATAAATTATTTATTTGTGAAAAGAATGACTCAAATAGAAGGGAGTGGTAATCGGATCCACTCAGTCGAGGCGGAACCCGAACCCGGTGGACCATCTTGCAGTTACAGGATCGATTTCGGGTCGGGTTTTCGTTGAATGAGTGCGTGATAGGCGGAGCTGCGGGCGGGATAACAATTCCTTCAAACCTGGCGAACAGTTGAACGATTCGGATCCGCACCCGACAAGCGCCGGTTACCCGTAATAAGAGGTAGAAGAGTGTGGTTTGCGCCGCCTAAGTCCGCTAGGGTTTTGAGGGCGGACGACGAGCGAGGGGGGCGAAGCCGATTCATCGCGTCGCGGCCGGCGAGATCGATTGGGCGGAGTGGAGCGGGGCGAGGCGGGTGGGCGATGGACGGGCTGACTGTGTCGGAGGCGGACCTGGTGGTGTACGTCCACCCTTCCAAGGCCAACAAGGTCCGACACGCTGTCCTTCGCCAGCTCAGTTCCCTGCTCTTCACGTAGGCCATTCCCGCCCTTCGTATCCCCCTCCTCTAAGAAATCTTTCGGTTCGAAGTTTTTCTTTGTCCGTTTTGTTCCCAGTTCCTCTCTTTTCTTGCGTTTATTGGTACGTTCTCATGTCCCCTATTTGATATTGCGAATTGTTGGGGATAAAACTATGATTCTCTCATGTATGTATAATGTAAGGAACAATTGTTAGACATTTTTGTCTAATTCTTGAATAAATTGTAATATCTAATCTTTCTGGTTCCACTTTCTAAAGGGTAATATAGCAACCACCTTGGTTTTTCCACGTCATAAGGGCAAATATCTTATATTTCACATGAAAGTTACAATCTGTCATCTTGTTTTGTCCACTATTTATGTAATGTTTGATGCACTTGCTCCTTTGATGTTATTTAAGAGATGAACTTTTGAGAGACTTAATTTTGTTTTCTCATTAGTGATAGAAGGAAGCATGATAGACAACTTATTGATAAAGATGATTGGATGGGGACATGTATGATGATGCTGGTTCATTGCATGTCGATTTGTTTCTGTTTGTATGCTTAAAGCTTGGGGCTTAACTAAGTTAAGTAGTTACTTTGATAATTTGGTGGGAAAAACTGGACTTAGTTTGCTACCGATTGTTTTCTTACTCTTTATTGGCCTTACAATTTCTTGGATTTCCTTTTGACAGCCTTAAGCCAACTGTAAACCATTTTGGAATGTCAAAAAGATCCTTTGGATCTATGGTCTAATCCTCTCTGGGTCCAATATTCCTCCCGTGTGTAAACATGAACATGCCAGAGTAAAAAACAAAAAAAAGCCATAACCACCACCAAGTTGTGTATGCTAATCTAAGTGATGTTCATAAAACTACTTTCTCTCTTGGTTATTTCATTTAAAAATATATCTAGTCATAAATGTTGGTTATCTTTTCATCTGTCTTGTTGCAAATAATGCAATACACACAAAATGAAGCAATGTCTCTATAAGTGCTTCAACAACTATTTTCTTTCCTTTTGCAATAGATATGATGAGATATTTGATGGCGTGATATTGGCATATGAAATTGATATTCCTGGCGAGCATGCGAAGATTCTTTCGGGGCTAATCCCATATTTTGAAGTTAAAGTGAAAGCAAATTTGCTGATTTTCTCTCCTAGGCCAGACATGTTATTAGGTAAAGCACATCATTTCACAAATCATTCTATTTTATGCTTGTACTTTTTGTGTCTGAACATGTTGTATTACAGATTCTCTCTTATATCATATTGTCTTCCAGCCTGAGTCATTCTTTAAAAAAAAGGGCTAGTAAGTTGCTTTTGAGGTGAAATGTTTAATATATGCTTTTCTGATTTGTGAAGCTGTTTAGATAAGAGGAGGAGGAGGAGGAGGAAGGGGGGAGGGGGGGGGAGGGAGTTCAAGGATATGCAATCTAAAAAATGAAAGATACTCCAAGAGATTTTGACTTAGTTTGGATTGTAAAGAATGATGCATGGTTTTATTATGAGAAAGATTCTTGGGAACTTTCTAAATGTGATCATGTTAGGTTATGTTCCATGCTTTGCTTGCTGACCACTCCGAGCTAGCACTAAACTGCACACTATTGAGCCATTTTCTGTTATTATACTCTCATACCTTGTGCTTAGCACCTTCATTCTATTGTACTTTTATGTGAGGATTTTATTGTTATGAGTTGTGTGGATTTTGATTTTATGAGTGTCATCAGCAACAGAAATTAAGTTTCCTACTGAAACCTATTTCATATTGTTTTAATAAGTCCATCATGTTCTGTGGTGCTTCTTTACCTCCTTTCCCAAATATTATGTTACTCAGCAAAGTGTCATATACATTCACTCCTTTAGGAGTCTTACTGTCTTACTATTTCTATGGCCATCTTTTTGCATGTTCTCTTGGAATATGGTTTCTTTGAAGTTGCTATGTTATTTTCTTATTAATTATATGAAAAACAAAAACCTTTAAACCAATTTATGTTGATATGATGCACTTTTGGCACCATGGAGCAGCTCCATTATTGTCCTGTGCTTCGCCACAAGGTTTGTGATTATTCATATAGTCTTGTGCCGTGCATATCAAACCAGCAGAAGTGGCAATGGGCTGCCATCTCTGAGACATATTAGCATGGTACAGAGGTATGCATCTCTGTACAAACTAGTTTCTCACCATGCCTTTTCCAAAGTAGATTGCTTATGTCTTGATATTTATTGATGATGCTAAGGGTCTTTCTTTTGCCATCTGTTGCTACTATTTACTTTATCAGTTCTGTATGCCCAATTTCGAAATTGTATTTCAAGATTAATATCTGGCTATACTGAACTAGGCAGTTTAACTCTGCAATAGAATAATGAAGTCTGAGCCTTTTTCTCATGTTTGGATTCTTCTTGATTCAATGTGGTTTGACTCTTCAGAAGGCAAAGTTGTCAAGCTGGGAAAGGAATCCATTCATGTGATTGTATTGGGGTTTTCTTCAGCTGCCATAATGTTGGAAGACATTCGTGAAGAGTTTAGATATAAGATTGTAAGATTTTGTATTTTCCTTTTTTGGATTCTAAAGTACTTTTACATAGTAAAAAGGGTTCATTATCGCTTCATTTTGACATTTTTCTTTTCATCATCTCAGAAACATGGTGCAGGAGTTTTTGCTAGTTCCTCCCACAAGCGGCATGTTATTAAAACTGGAAGCATGATACGATTCTTGGTCAAAAGGTGAAAGCTTACAGATATCTTGTTCTTGTACATTCTTGTCATTTTAATACTGTTCTCTAGTAATGGCTGAGTTCCTATTTGACCATATTTCTTAGGCTTCTCAATGCTAAAATTAAAAATCCCAATCTCTTCTTTATTGTGACTCCCAAACCTATTGTAATACATATTCTAGCATACTCATAGAAGAGTTTTGGGGAAGTATCTGAATAATAAAAATATAAAACTTGCCAAACTTGCAACCCAAACACCAAGGTCTTAAACCCTAAGTAGGGCCAACCTGGATGCTAATTTGAACACACGTACATCAAATTGTTGTGCTGCAACTCATGACACCTCAATATGAAAGTCCTTGGAGCTTGAGGATCTGGGGGTGTAGCTTCACTTACCGCTTCATGTGATAAAAGGATTATTGCTGAATGTCTGTAGCACAAGCTCATAAAAAATTGTCAACATGAAATTTTAATTGACCTAATTATTGCATCCTCCATACTAAGGTACAGAATATGTACTGAGATATAATAAAATGGGATAACAAATACATTGTGCTTAATTGTCTCAGTAGAGATGCTTCGTGTCTGTTCTTTTTCTTTCTCCCCCTCATGGCAGTTTTTTTCCCTCAACTCATGTCAGTTTTTTTTTATATTTAGAGATGCCTGAACATCATTATATGTCAGTTCTTTATTTTTCCCTCTTCCCTCATGTTCCAGTTGTTGACTTTGGATCAGCTGTTGTTTCCTTCCTATAGACCATTGATTTTAGTTGAAACTAATAGAAAGGTCATAATGATTCTCCAAAAGCACAAGAACAAAGGTTGGCTGACAAGAGCTATTCCTGCTTAATTTTTTTGAACTCCTCTGGAAGCTAGTAACTTGGTGAATAAAGTCAAGTTGGGTTTTGGTGAGATGCTAAAATTATAGTCTTAAGTTGTTAGAAATGCGGAAAGAATTTACATTTTGTTTTCATCTTTTATCTTCATTAGTATTTGTATGCTTAGATGTTTATTAAAGAAACTCATTACCCATTTTAGTACAATTGACAATATAATGTCATATAGTTTGGATGAAGAAATACTTCATATATCTGGATCGTTGGTTCCACCTCACACTGGATGCATCCGATGGTTGTCCAGACATGGCGTAGAAGATGGATCACATCCAGACAGGTTTGATTCTATTTCTCCGTTAGTCTTTCCGTGTTGTTTACTTGCAATTTTGGATTATTTTTTGACAAATAGTAAATCTTAGTGCACCCCTTGGTGAAGCCCATGACCCCCATTCTATTGTTGTTGCCTTAATATATTATTAATATAATCATGGGCTGTTGATAGCAGAGGATATATTTATTCGTTCATTGGGAATTTTTAAACCATCTTTTACCAGGTTGTTTGGCAGAACCTTGTTCCTCGGCTAACCACTTTATTGATTTTCTTTTTCTTATATGCTAACCACATTGATAATGCTATAAGAAGTTACTATCTAAAATTTCTGCAGAAGTTTGAAGGAGCTGAAGAAGGATGTTAAGAGGGAGCTGCAAGGAGAAGGCATCACACATTCTGCTCGAGGAGAGAAGTTTCTAAATCAAACTCGCACACACAAGTCCAGAAAACGGGCTCGTGAATAGAAATCAGAACTCCGAGGAGCCTCCTTTCTGGTTAGCAACACTGTAGTATTAACAGCACAAAACCAAATTGGTTTGATGAGGATGTATTCTGATTTTTTTGTTTTCGAATGGAGGAATATATTTACGAAATGTTATCAGGCAACTCGACCAAGAGGTTACAATAGGAGGGGAGAGGGGTGGGGTACGGTTTATGGTTCTTTGTTCAGTGTGGTAGCATGGTTTGCATTCATTTTTCATTGTTCGTCTGTTGGCCATTTTGGAAACTATGGTATACATATAAAGCTAATGCATGCTTTTATGTACTCATTTTGCTGGGCGCAAACTCCAGGCTAATATAAAGCCAATGAATTCAAATAATTTGAGCCAAAGTACAATCCATTTCTGCTACAATCGCAAGTGTTCTGTACTCTCGCATCTGAGAGAGAATCTTCTGATTTGTTACTGGCTGTCGTATAACGTTGTTTTCTTGGTATACCGGTAAATTGGTGGGCGTTTGAACTCTTGTGAAGCAGCCAATATCTGTTATCATCACCTCCGCGAATCAAAGTTAGTCTTTTCTGGTATAATGTATTTGGCTGGGTTAATTATAGATTATCTCAGTTAGTTACTTATAGTATATGGTTTTTTATATTTTAAAAAAAATATTTTATTTTAAAAAATTATATTGTTATTCGTTTATTAAAGTGAAACATGTAGATTTATTTATCCTAACGTTATTAATTTTACTAATAAAAATATAAAAAATAATAAAATTATTGATTTTACTAATAAAAATATAAAAATAAATAATAAAAAAATATTTCTATTGGAGGTGACGAATGATATCGATTGTGGCATTGTTGGGAGTCAAGGGTGGCCGTTGTGAACGAAGAGAGTGACGATAAGATGTGTGGATCGTTCTACAATTATGTCGACGTTGAAACAATTATCGAGTCGCCTTTTCGTCGCTCTGCATTTGCGTTGATGTCGATGCAGTTGTTAAGCGACATCGCTCTACATCTACATTAGCATCGACGGAAGGGTTGTTCGACATTTGCATCGATGGTTCTTTTGTCGCTTGGCAATTGTGTGGTGTTGATGTAGATGGTGGTGGTCGCCTTATCGCTGACTCGTTGGCAGATTGCTTGACCCAAAGTTGGGTCACTGGGGCTCTTATTGCTCCTCTCGTTGTTACATTAGTTCCGACATGGGTATGAAAAAAGAGAGATGAGGGGCTCATTGGAGGAATTTTCTAGTCACTATGGTTGTCGTCGATCGGGAAAGGAAGCTTTGGGAGGTTGGCAAGTTGGCGGTTGTTGAGCTCCTTACGGATGTATCCAATGGTAGTAGAAAAATGTGGGTCTCGGAATTCGATGTTGAGTACGTCATCATATCCATCGTCAACATAGTCGTCGAGCAACCCTTACCTCTCGCTACCACTCTTCTCATCCACAACAACCACCTAGAGCCGCTAGCGATGCTGTCGTCTTCTACCATCAACGTCATTCATCATCACCAACTAAAACATTAAAATTATATTTTTATAATTTATTTTTATAATTTCATTGGTAAAACCGATGACGTTAGTGTAAATAAACTTAGATATTTCATTTTCATATGTACTTTATAGTATACTACTAAAGATAACTAATTACGTACCATAATATATAATTAACCATATATGGTATCATTTTTCCTTTCTCTCTGAACCCATCTAGTTGTTACAAACAATCATCCTTACTATAAGAATCAAAATATTATCCCATGTTCGATCATATGCCTCGATTGCTGTGACTTAATATGCCTCGAGTGTACCGGGATTTGATAGATGATGAAGAAGATTAAAGAGAAATTTGACAAGACAACAGTCGGTCACTAAGAGGTAAGCAAAACACAAAAAAAGGAAGGAAGAAGGAGATGATAAGGACGTCCACTACATATCCCGACTTCTATTTTGAAGGATTATGCATGTCATATAAGTAAGAACACAATATTCGGAGGATTATACGAATCTGGTAAACTACGGGACTGGTTGTTGCAGTGATTTGTCTGCCATAGATGCATGCATTAATCTAATTCTCAAAGGTTTTCATATGTTATTATGAATGGTAGTTAACTTAATGTCTCTCTTAACTCTCTCTTATTGTATATTAAATAGCTAATCTTATTGGTGCGAGGTTTATTCAGCATTTACTTCCACACAGATAATTTTGAGATGAATATATTCATCTATTACTTCTATTAAACATTGATCGGCTCAATATAATACGGAAAAATTGTATCCACTCAATTATAATTGAAAAATACTTGAAAAATTAAGAATAAACAATATATAGAACCTTAATTAGATCGCTAAACTTCAATTCATGTGTGTGGGTCGATATTATTCCTAATTTTTCACTATGCAATGTTGATATGGGGATTATTTATTTCATGCATGCCAACTGATATGTAGTTGTCACGTCACTTTCATCCAACCAATATGTCACTTCAACTTGAAGCTTACGAGGTACATAATGTGGCATCAGAGGATTGATTTAGTTCCACATAAACGATCATCGATGGAAATAATAGAAGATAAGAACAATTATTGAAGAAGCTTTATTGAAGAAATAAAAATGCTTCAATGCATTAACATGTTCTCTCTCCTATTTATAAAGAGATTTCCTCGTATAGTTGGAGAAATCTTATCTTCTATCAATCATATCATGCCAACAAAAAAATAAACAACAAGTCTAATCTCGTTATTTTTGTTCCACCTATAACTTCATAATCTCACTTATGATGGAACATAACACTCTTTACATTAATCATGAATTTAGACTCAATAATTACATGCCATACTATAAAATGGTTTTCGGTGTGAGATCGGTCGGCTTAATTACATTTGATAAATTCAACTTTTGATCGAATCATCTAAACATAAATTGACTTAAGTAGGATTTTCACTTGAGCTTTTTCCTCACCCAACACTATTTTTACTCGAGATGAACTCAAAAGTAGAAGTCGATTGGTTCTCGATGACACCAAAATTCGACTTAACAAGTGCTATTTGTTTTCCTACCCGTTGTGTATGTTCTGTTCATGTCCACCTTCTATTTGTCAACTTCAATTCACAATATTCTTCTGTATCACTGTTTATATATACTGTAATCTTCTCTCTCTTTGAACATTATCAGCACTCCTCAAAATGGTTGTTGAATCGTAAAGTGAACTATACCTTCTTGAACTTGGGACAAAGCTTGATCAAGTATTTAAGCTTTCATTTTTGTCAAAACTTTTATTTCTTGTCAAGCGGTGGTACAGTCAAAGCTCAAGACTCTGTCAAGCGATGATCCTGTCAGATTGGATAATGGTACCGTTCAATGTCATGTGGTGATACTACGATGGTGATACTATCAGTACCCAAAAATCCAAGATAAGATATTTTTTTATTTCAATTTTGAAATCATTGAGGCTTATAAATACGTTATCATTTTCTGTATGAAAGGATAACAAAGTGCAATCAAAGTGTGAAAAAAACTCAAAGTGTTAGGGTGTTAAAATTTATATACGTTAAACTCGACGTAATTATTATCATTGGCATCTATAATTAATTAGGGAGTAAAAGATTCTGATAATGTTGGCATGACAGCCATCTCCATGCTTCGGTTGCGCCCGTCGTACCGCCGAGGCCTTGGAAACCATGTTTGACCGGTGAGGTGCGCACGAGCACCAACCCCCGTCAGGTTGGTGGTCGACGTCGACGGCTGCGCAAAGCAAAATTAGAGTACGTGATCTCCCTATATATGTATATGTGTAAGCTCAGGGAATCCATCCTTGTGCAACAAGGAGCTCATGGCCGGCCCCTTTCATTCGTACGTCCTGGTGCTGCCCAAACCGGTAATGCTCTTCTTCCGGTTCCTCGCCTACGTGGACTTCGCAGTCTCGCTGGTCTTCTCCTATCTCGGCCTGTGCGGGCCGCCGGAGCCACTGACCCCAACGTGGGGAGAGAATGCGCTCTATTTCCCGGCCACGGAAACCCCGTCGTCGTTGATAAAGAGGCAGCTCCATGTGGTGGAGTTCTCGAGCTTCGCGAGGACGCGCCGGGTGGAGGAGCTGACCTGCGTCATCTGCCTGAGTGAGGTGGCGCGCGGGCATGAGGTGAGGGAGCTCGGCAACTGCGCCCATGGGTTCCATGTGGAGTGCATAGATAGGTGGGTTGACGTCGGCCGCGAAACCTGTCCTCTGTGCAGGGCTCACCTTCTCCCCTCCGCGTAGCCGGGAAGGATGTGGTGGCGAAGATTTATGAGGGGGTTATGAGATGAGCATATTCTGAAACAAAAGACTGTGATGTAAGCCGAAATAGATAATACATATTATAACCTCAAGTTGGAGAACAATAAATAAGTAACATATATTTAATTTATTGTAGTTAAAAAGCTCGTAATTTGAGCTTGTTAGTGAACTTACACGTCATGGCCGGGGAGTCAGCATGGCTTGGTCTATGAGTCAGTGTCTAGAGTTTTTGACATTCGAGGATGTGCCTTTCGATTGATTGGAAGAAGCACTGAAGTCGAGCTGTTCCTGGGGTCGGGATGGTCGTGTTTCCAACGAGGGATCGAGCTGGTTTGAGGGTGGTCGTGTTCCTGCAAAATGACCCAGGTTGGGGATCCCCGACTTAGGCCCCTTGTAGATTAAGTCAGTGGTTTTTCTCCATTTTTCATTCCACTGACCATATGCCGGTCATGGGCTTTTATATTGTTGTCCGAGGATCGGTAGTACACGGATTTGGCATGGCGGCCGATCTCCTCGAGTGGCGAGTTCGTACCTTTGTATGGTCATCGTCCAGTATGCGTGGAACGATGTCATACGGTGTCGTCTCAAGCTTTCCAGGATGGGAATTTACTGAGAAGATGCCTTCCTATACGGGCTCCGGCTCGACGTGGGAGGAAAGTAGCCCTCTATAAGGGTGTGACGTGGTGTGGGTCGTGACGTGACCGACATCCGAAATATGCCTTATTAGAGCTTCATCGACTTAGTTAATTTGAAGAAATTAGAATGTTGAAAGGAAGCCCACATATCATCGTTGTGTTTCTTTAGACGACGCTCGAAGGATGGGAGAATTGTACCTACTTGGATACAACGTTCTTATAAGCTGCATCGATGATCTATGGACATACCGAAGATGGGTTTTGATCTTCTCGTGGCTTGACTAGTTTGAGACAAAGCTAGTTTTTGTGATCTCAGCATGGCGACTGCAGAGCTAGACTACGGCAGCAGCATTTGAGGCTTCCCGTGGAACCTCAAGAACCATATTATCCATGGCAAGAAGATCCATGTCATCTTCTTCTTGCTGATTTCCATTGGCAAAAGAATTCAATTACGCCCCATAAAGATTTTAATTAGGGAATCAATAATAATCCCCAAAACCTATGAGATTAAGAAAAGTGTAAGTTTGGCATATTAAAGGAAAGATTAGGTTCAAACTCACATTTATAAAAGCTTAGGTTATTAAGAAAAGACCTAACATTAGCATTAGACTATCAATATATTATTTATAATAATAATAATAATAATAATAATAATAATAATAATAATAATAATAATAATAATAATAATAATAATGATAATAATAGGAAAGAATCCGGTAAAGCTGTACTTTCCAACTACGATGATAGTGATGCATTATTTTGTGGACACTCATTTCAGTCTCGTCATGGAGGTTGGAGTCGAAAAGGACTGGTCATCTTTGTCAAAGAGAAAGTAGGCTGCGAGAGACTTTCTCCCACCGTCTTCTTCCTTCTCCAATCACACACAAGCGGAGGTGTCAGTACTCCTCCAACATCGAGCTAATGGAACTCCGGTTGGACTTGCAGAATGATGATTTATTTTATGTCTACTTTGTCATTGCTCACTCATCACGCTGACGGTGAGGTCAAGTTGGGCTCATGTGGTTTCATAATTTCTAAATTAACCTTGTTTGATTACTTTTAGGATCAGTACATAATTTAGGTTTTCTAAAATTAGCATCATGAGTGGATAAGAAATTTTATCACGAAGAAAAGAAGTCCTCTTGAGAAAGAAAACCATGATAATTCAGTTTGATTTTTATATAAATATCTTATTTATCTTTAGATTCTTATCGAGAAAAATGCGATGTGAAAAATAATTTAGACGTTCTTAGGATTTTTCTCTATGGTATACTTTCTAAGGTTCATAGAGAGTTGTAAAAAAAAACATAAGTTTTTTGTGATTTATGTGAGAGGATATACAAAGGATTGTACTTGAGTTGGGATAATCAATGAGTCTTATAATTGATCTTATATTATGAAGAATTTATTTTTCTTCTATGGAAGTTATTAAATCATGTTAAATCTTATATTGATTTTATGATATATTTTTTATTATTGATATTTATGATTTTTTTAGTTTAAAATTTTTTCTCTCCCTTGTATTTGTTAGGAAAAAACATATGAAGTGCATATAGAAAAAATGATTAATATTTATTAGTCTGATCAAATCAAGAATCCACATCTGAGTTGAGTTATTCGGCTTTGTTAACGATTATCAACTATCAATAACTCCTCTTGCACTAAATAAATTAAACATATCATATCACATCAAAATCTTTAAATGAAAGACATCTTATCGCATCAAAATTATAATTTTTTCATATCACATATTTTTGAAAAATAAAATGGGTGTAAGTGATATAGTTTGAGTTCAAAAGCTATAATATAATAAGAAAGATTGGTTAAAGTATTAACGGTAGGAGGGTAACTTCAAGTCAATGAGTTTATGTATGAATCATATCTATGAAGATTAATATATGTCAGATTGGCCATCAATTTAATATAAAATTTTAGGTCTCTAGATTGATGTTCAAACCCAATATAAGCAATAGAATTATTTGAATACTTAAGGATGTGAAACTATAGTAATAGTCCGTCTCCTTTTTATCGAATCATATCACCTTCTTCCGTGTGGATGGATGAGACTGACTTAAATGGAAGGAAAAGGATGCGAATCAAATTCTTAAGATCATAAATCACTAGTAAATCCCCTCTTTCAGGAATAGGTAGTCTTATGAACAACTTTAAAGGCAGGCAGAGAGAGGCATAGGAATGAATCCATGAGATCTCACTTTGAGCCACACATGGGATGCTACCTACACCAAGTATGTGCATCCAAGGCTAATTAAAGAACGAGTACAACAAACAGTGAGCTAAGCTGAGGCAGAAGTCATCACCTTCTCAAAGTCTCTCGTCTTCATATGGCATTCTTATTATATAGGGATCATCCCTCGTGTTCATCATGGAGGGAGAAAGCCTACCAAACTCAACTCCCTTTTGATCCACTTTACGCAAGCCGGCCATCATCTTCGCGGAATCCACTCTCCTCTCTCTCTCTCTCTCTCTCTCTCCTCCGCTTAATCTTCGTGGTTCGTTCGTATATATGCATGTCACACTCATCCTCCCCATTGACATTAATCGGCCAACCACCATCCATCCTTTCTCTCTTTCTCTCTCTTAATAATAATAATAATATGATTTTTCTAAAAATAACTTTTTATGGATTTTTGCTGGAAGTTGCTTATAGTCTTTAGTTTTCTCATTTAATGTCTTTATTTTTATTTTTAATAATAATAATAATAATAATAGGATGATTTTTCTAAAAAAGATAATTTTTTCTGAATTTTTATTTTCTTGAGGTACCTCTTGTTATAGTCTTTCGTTATTTTTCTCTCGCTATTGTTTGATAATGACAAGATAGTATTGAGACCAAAAAGAATCGATAAGAGGGGATTGAGCGACGACTAGTTGCTTATGAAAAGATGAGACATGAGCAACCAAAGGGGATGAAAACAAAGAAAAATTAAAAGTAATATTAAAATCATCACAAAGGATGATGAAGAGACATAAATTATACTCTCTTGAAGGATAGACAACGAGGGATATAATGAGAGAGTAGTCAATATCATATATGAGATCGTTACGAAGGTAAGATTGGGATACACGAATAGGTCTCGTACCCGATAAGAGTTTAATATATTAAAAGAAAAAAAATCTATTTAAAAAATAAAAAATAATTTTAATAATAATAATAATAATAATAATAATAATATTATTATTATTATTATTATTATTATTATGGACTCATTGAGCAGAGTTATATATATGTAAGATTTAAAAATAATAAATTATTATGAACTCAAAATTCTGCATTGCGGTTGCGGGTCTCCGTTCGGGTCGGTGGAAGCCCAGAACCAACTGTGCGCCACCGCCGCCGCGGCATATGTCGGGACCCAGACAAGCTTCAGCCTTCTCCGACGCCAGGCCGCAGTGTCTCATCTCTCTCCACCCGGCGGTGGGCCCAGCGCTGCGAAAAGCTGGAGCCAGTGCTCGGGTCGGACAGCGAGGGAGGACGCGACGGCGACGTCGGTCACCACGTCTGGGAGCACAACGCTGCTCGCGGCGTCACGAGCTGAGGAACCAGCCGCGAACGCCGGCGGCCGCGACGTAAGTTGTGGCAATGGGGCTGGGGCTGCGGCTGCGGCTGCAGCAAACACCAAACGTTAAATGCAGAATACGCGAGAAGACGTACCCAAAGTGGTCGATGTCGTGCCTCACGAGGCGGAGTGAGAATATGGGCCGCGAGTGGCGGATACCTCGCCGACGTCGCCCACTTCTCTCTCTCTTCTTTATTAGTACTCATCTGCACGTAAAATTATACAAACCAGGCAACAAAACAGCGTACCCGTCTCGGCTTTCTCTTCTTCCTCTTTTATTATCATTATAATATCTATTATTATTATTATTATTATTATGAGAGAGAAGCGTTCGGCGGGTGGAATTCTCTGTTGCAGGCGAGGAAAAGAGAGCTGTCACGTTGATATGACTCGCTCTTTTTAGATTTCTCACGCCTTTTTTCGTCTCTCTCTTGGCGCGTGTTTTGTTCTGTGGAGAGGGCTTGGGGCATGGCGTCGGGCTTCTCCGGCCGCTGCGGTGTGCAATCCCCGATCGCGACGCGTTCGGAAGCTGGAACCGGTGCTATTCTGAAGCGATCGCTTACGGAAAGGGAGAGGTTGCAGCAGCAGCAGCAGATGCAGTTACAGGACGCGCTTCGATCCGTAAAGCAGAGGACGCTTCTTGCCTCCTCCGCTTCCTCCCACCTTCCTCCACCTCCTCCTGTCGACCTGTCTTCGGGCTCCTCATCATTAACTTCGTCGAATTTTCCGGCGTCCGGGTTCGCGAGGCGGCGGGAGATGTTCTTCTCCGTCACGCAGACGGCGGCTGGCTCGGGGTCCGACAACAGGCCGTCCGCCGCGATACAGGACCGGCTGCAGGAGCTGGAGCGGCAGCTATTCTTGGACGAGGACGACGAGGAGGACGCGGTCAGCGCGTCAGGCTCGGCCGTGACCACCGCCGAGTGGAGCGACGCGATGCAACAGCTCACGTCGCCGCCGTTGCCTCCGCCGGCAGCTGCGGTGGCAGCGCCGAACCAGCTCTCTCCTTCGCCCACCAACTCCTCCTCTACCGTCTCGTCCTCTGCCTCGAGCTCGCCCCCCTCGTTGTCCACGGCGGCTGCGGCTTCTTCGAGGCAGATGCTTCTCGACACCGCCGTGGCTATCGCTGATGGAAACGTCGAGGCTGCCGCCGGTAACCTCGCCGTCCTGAAGCGCGCCGCGAACCACCGAGGCGACGCGGAGCAGCGGCTCACGGCGGTGATGCTCCCCGCGCTCGTTTCTTGCATGAATCCGCCACCGACTGGGAACTTTTGTCCCTCGATCGCGGAGCTCTGCAGCGCGGAACACTTTGCGGCCACGCAGGTGCTCTACGAACTCTCCCCTTGCTTCAAGCTCGGCCTCATCGCCGCCAATTTGGCGATCTTGGAGGCCACCAAAGACCATCCCAAGATCCACATCCTTGACTTCCAGTTTGGCCAGGGCGGCCAGTACCTCACCTTCCTCCACGCCCTCGCGGAGCGCCAGCGCCTCCGGCCCACCGCCCGTTCCCCGGTCATCCGGATCACCGCCGTCGCCGATCCCTCCTCCCCATTCACCAGGAACAACGGCGGAAACTTAAGGGCCGTGGGCCATCAGATCGAGAAGCTGGCGGAGCGGGCCGGCCTGGCGGTCCGGTTCGGCGTTGTCCACCGGCGGCCGGCGGATCTGGACGCGGCAGCGCTGGGATGCGAACCAGGAGAGGCCCTGGCGGTCAACCTGGCCTTCGCCCTCGCTCGGATCCCGGACGAGAGCGTCTCCCCGTCGAACCCCCGCGACGAGCTCCTCCGCCGCGTGCGCGCCCTCCGGCCGCGCGTGGTGGCGATGGTGGAGCAGGAGATCAACACCAGCACCGCCGCCTTCGCCGCCCGCTTCGGAGAAGCGTGCGCCCACTACGGCGCGCTGCTGGAGTCACTGGACGCGACAATGGCGCGGGACAGCGCGGAGCGGGCCCGAGTCGAGGCCTGGTTGGCTCGTCGCGCGGTCAACTCCGTGGCCACAGAGGGCGCGGACCGGGTGGAGCGGTGCGAGGTGTTCGGCAAGTGGCGCGCGCGTATGGGGATGGCCGGGTTCGATCCGCTTCCGTTCGGGCCGGCTATGATCGAACCTGTCAAAGCCAAGCTCGCATCGGTCCGGTCCAATCCAGGGTTTACCATCAAGGAGGAGGGCGGCCGGCTCGGGTTCGCGTGGAAGGACCGGGTGCTCACGGTGGCCTCTTCGTGGCGTTAGGCCGAGGGACATCTTACCAGTCAAATTTATGATATAGTTAATTGCTACTTGTTGGAAATGTACCAAGCTGGCCCGCATTTGCTTCCTGTAGGACGACGCCTTCGCTTTTTAGTGATAAGTATTATGTTTGACGACATCGTTAACTTAGTTGATGATATGATATCAAGACATTTGTGCCATTATAGTTGTGTTGGTGTTGGCGTTGGTGACTACGTCGAGGAGACGACGTGAGTGTGACGTGGACGTTGGCTTCCGTGGGGGAATAAATGACATGACGTTCGTTCACTTCATCTCGTCATTTCTTCTTGTGTTTTGCTTCTAAAAGAAATATCCGTCCTGAAATTGAATTAATTAAGGATATCTCAAACATATTTTGGATTTAAATTTCGTGCCCATCAAAACGAATAATCACAGTAATAATAATATATCATAAATTAATTTCGATCGTTTCAATTCGCCGGCCCTCGACGCTTATCTTCCTCCTCTCTCTGTTCTATCATACCCTAGACCCGGTGTTGCAGTACAAGGCTCTTTCGAAATGGCGTCGTCGACGGCGTCGGACCCGAGCATGGGGATTCCTGACGAAGCAGGACACGGAGGTGAAGCTGCCCCGGCCGACCTGAGTAAAGAACAAGAACCCGGCGCCCATCCAGATCACCGCCGAGCAGATCCTGTGCGAGGCCATGGAGCGGCAAGAACCCGAGATCCACCCCCCGAAGAAGAATCACCGACGTCCACGAGCTCAACGACTACCGCCTCCTCAACCGCAAGGAGTTCGAGGACCCTATCCGTCGCGCCTGCTGGAACACCGGCGCCTGGATCAAGTACGAAGCGTGAGATGCGCCACATTTCGTCAAACCACCCCTTGACCATGTACAGGAAGTACATTGCGTTTGACATGCAGTTAGGGGATGGGTGGGGATTGAGGATGCCATTGTCAAAAAGAGGAGGTAAGGGATGAGGAAGAGGCGAGAAAGAACCCTTTAAATTATGACTGCTGGTTCGATCACATAAGGCCCGAGGAGAGTGTGGGAAACGAGGATATGGTAAGGGAGGTGTCTGAGAGAGCGATTGCCAGCGTGCCTCCGGCGGCGGAGAGAAGCAGTTTTGGCAAAGATACATTTATCTGTGCTCTGCCATCTTGTCCAATTGACAATTGTGTTGTGGTCTTTCTTCTATTTACTAGAAATTTCTACTATTTTCTCAATTTTTCTTGCCCCTTTCTGTTTTGGTAGGTTTGTCATGGTTTGCTATTTGATCCATCATTTTATTTTGAATCGTAGGATAATACTTCACGAAGAACTCGACGCTCAAGACATCGATAGGTCGAGGGAGGTTTACAGGTAAGTAGCAACAGCTTTAGGAAAGAGTATTTTGCTGTGTTTTCACCTTAATTGTGAAATGCAAAATGAAGAAGCTTTAGTTGTGAAAGTGCATATGAGCTTAAATGAGACAGTGATTGCTGCAATTTAGGTCTTGGATGGTATTATAGGGGATGTATATTTCTCTTCTATGAGTTATGTAACTCTTTGTAGGACCTATCCTTGAGAAAATGCTTCTGATATCATATTGGAGAATATGATGGTGCATCATTGTTATGTGTGTTGTGGGGTTTAGGATCTCGGCAACAAATTGATAATACATACCATCTGCTATATTATTTTCATTCGTATTCTCTCTTTTTGTCTGCATTGTGGCATATTTTCCTTTTCTATGTTCAGTATATACACTTGCATGAATCATATTTATTTCCTTTCATTTTCTTGTTAGAATCAATCTCCCAAGGAAGTTGTCAAGTAGCCCTTGATTTACTCATTTCTGGACTTGCAGGACATCTTTTTATTTTTCCTTAAGAGTTGTAAATTTTAATTGGCAGTCATGTACTCAATTTTCTTGCTGCCACTGTGCTCAGTACTGTGTCTAATACAAACATATAACACTGTCAACATTCCATGCTATTCATAGAAGTTGTCATATTTAATTTTCCAATTGATCCAGGGAATGTCTTAAATTGATACCTCACAAGAAGTTTTCATTTGCAAAATTATAGCTCAGACACAAGGCAAATGAATCTAAAGGCTGCATGAGGAACCTTAGAAAATGCCATTAGGATAGCTCCAAAGGACATGATGTCAATTGCTTTCTACCCTTCATATTGGTGTTATATTGAGACTTGCATGCTCTTTGGCAGCATCTTTGTAACCAAGCGTTACTTTGTCTATTGTGTTTCCTAAGAAGTATATTGAGATTGCGCTGCAACAAGGAAACATTAATCGTTGCAGAACCCTGTATGAAATACACTGGAGTGGGCTCCTGTAAACTGCTATGTTTGGTGCAAATACACTTGAGTTGGAAAGGTCACTGGGTGAAACAGAGCATGCTCGACCATTATCCGAGCTCCTGTGATCTGTATTCTCTTGTTTGCAGGCAGCTATCATCAAGGGCTAGAGACTGCTGTTCATGATGGGGATGCAAAGTGTCTTGCTGGAAGGCGATTCAGCGGCTGGCTGAAGGATATGAGAAACTGAGAGACACAGCAGGCTGCTTTAGATTTCTCTGTCGGGGAGGCAATACTCCTGCACGTAGTATAACCTTTCACTGTAATTGCCCTCTTGATTTCTTTCTTTTTCGTTTGCTGGTATCCCGAGTTGTGGCATTCAAGATTTGGTGACCAATTGGTTGACATACTGGCTCTTCTGATGATTTCTTCTCAACAGGACTTGATTAGCTTGATCCCACTGTATGCAGTTCTTGGTGAGGACCCTAAGGCTTCACGGTCGATGACTTTGGTTAGTGTACGTGATCTGGTTTTGGATATATACCTTAGAAAAATTTAGCAATGTTTTTGTAGAATGATTATTCTGTATATGTGTATATATGCATACATATGTGCTTAATCCATGAGTTGTCATTGAAAGAACAAAATTCATGTTTCTACCGAGAAATAAAAGAAGCAAAGAGAATTGGATACTTCGCTATGCGCCTAACTAGGAAAGCAGTTTCTCATACTGCGGCCTTCCAAGTTGCAGGTAATTCTGGCTAGTCTGAAGCAGCACTCTTCCCCTTCCAAGTTGGGCCTTTTTTTTGTGGGGTCTTCCTGTGAGAGTCAAAACTGGGAAATTATCACGGAAACTTCACTCCACTTCTCGATGGACCTCTATTATATTTTGGCCATCCATTGAACTCATTATCTCCCTTCATTATCACTTTAAATTCATTGAACTATTCGGCGTACAAATCGACCAATTTCGTTCGATTAAATGTAACTAATGCTTTCTGGAAAGGTTCTTCACCTCGTGACATTTTGTATCAAGTTTTCTAGTATTATTTTAACGAGATGGGGATTATTCTAAAAAAAATAATTAATAATTGTTTCCCATTAATTAATGATAAATAGGATATTGACTGTTGACCAAAAGAAACATTAGAAACGACAGTTCGGATCGAAAGACTTTTTCTTTTCTTTTTTCTATAATATGTTTTCATCTCCCATTTTTTTCTTCTTCGTTTGTGCGGGAAGATATGTAGCAAGCTAGCAAGGGTTACAAAATGAGCGCATAAATAAATTGTACACTAATTGTTTACCGTGGAGATATACCCGCCTTTTTACTGGAGGACGGCTATATTATAACAGTGGGCCCATGAGGGTTACATGGTTGATTGGTCAAGGAAGTACTAATCTAGTTTGACCCGCAGTCATCACCAACGAAGCGACCCCGCTACGCCTTTCGTGCCCATCTCAAAAAGCGGCATCTCTTCTTCTCCCGATCTCGATCGCCACCCTTCTCCTCCTCCTCGAGTCGCTGCCGGATCCCGCGTTCGATCAGTGAGGCTGGCCATGGCGTCGCAGGAGTACCTCGACAAGATGCAGCTCCGACAGAGCTACCGGAACGTCTGGCACACCGATCTAATGAGCACCATTCAGGCCGACTTCCCCTGTAAGATTCCTCCCCTTCCTCTTCCTTCTTCTCCTTCGATTTCTGGTTCCTTTCGAGATATCTGACTGATGCGTTCCCATCTGCTTTGCAGTCTGCTGCCTGGCGCTTTGGTGGTAAGCCCTCGGGCTTTTCGACGATCCGATTCGCCTTTATTCTGAAAAAAAATGTTGCAGATAAATCCAATTCCGGTTCTTTTTCTCGATAGCTTTCTTGTTTCTATCCGTAATTGCCTTCATCTTTTGATAACTGGAATCTTGATGTGTCCCAAATCGGTCGATGGTATATCTTTATTTTTTTTGTGATCTTTTGCATGAATATGCTCGTGGATTTTGAAGATTGAGTTCACGTTATAGCCGGAAAGGTGGGGAAACATTACTGGGGGAATATGTAAGGATTGCAGTGCTGGTTGTCAGTGATGCTTTTACCCTGAAACTGATGATGCACTGTCTTGAATCTGTTAGCTATAAGGAATAGAGACTTGTCCTCGTCTTATGCTTCCTAATTAGAGTAAACAGTAACTTCAGTTCTTCAGTTGGAAACTTTCATATTTTTTTTCCTGTGTAATAACAACTGTTCTAGGGTTCCCAATCTTTCTATTTTGTATTTTTATTATCACATTATTTAGGGAAGGCAAAAGTCCTACCCCATTTTTTTGGCGTTGTGTTCCCCCCAAGCCACATCATAAAGGGAAATAAACACAAAAAATCTCTAACTATTTCTTTATTCTCCCAAATTCTTCAAGATTTCATAGTTGGTAGCTACTTATGAACAAAAACATTTGTGACATTTCTGCCTTGGGTTTGTTTAGAAATCTATGTAGTACTTATGTGCTTAATAACCATGTGTTCTGTTTGGTGATGAATTGTACAGCAAGATTTGTCTATGAAAAAGTGAGGTTGAAGCTCAAGTTCAAGTAAACTTTTCAATTTAAAAAAGTTAACAAACTTTCTTTAAAAAATAAGTAAACTGATCTAAGGGCTTGTCTTAGAGTGCTATCATGGTGATTTTATACCAGTGACTTCATTACCTGGATGTTATGCCAATACGCTTGAAAAGCATCTTGATCTTTCATAAACCAACAATGCAGTAAATTGTAAAAGTGCAATGTGATGCTAGAAGAGAAAAGAAATATAGAAAAGTGGCAAGACAGTAAAGTAATGTTAAAGAGAGATTGATGGCCTGCATGTCATCTTCAATAACACTAATATCCTGCTCATCGCCTCGTGGAATATTGATATTTGGGACACAAAGGAGCTACCTTACCATGACAGAATTCACCCTCTTGTCCAATAAGATAAATATGCAAATAAAAAAGTTTAAGCTTGTAAAAGAAGGAATCTTTTAGCATGATTTGCAATTACAAAGTATACAATTAAGGCACAGAGTTGGTTGCTTTTGGTTGGACATCCCAAACAACTTATTAGTGTGGCTTCTCTGGAACTGTTGCAAGCATTGAACTCTAATCTGACCACTTCATCCTATAGCATAGGAACAAATTTGAACATAGCTAGGGTTTACCTCGCAAAATCGATTACTCAAACTAAATGTTTTTTTTTCTGTTTTTCCTATAACCGGATGATGATATCACTGATCACTGTATCATCTTAGGAAAAAAAGTTTACATTGATAAAAGTACATAAAATTTGGAAATTTTGAGGGCTTAAGTCTTTTGGAAACTTCTGATGATGGGATTGTTAATTCAGAACTCTGTGACAAACTTTTGTTTAATGCTGTTTATTTTTTGGAATAGTGGCATGCCATTAACTTTTGTTTAATTCTGTTTCATATTTAAATATATACTTATTCTTAGATCTTGTTCTGAGATTCTTCAAGCTGTTATTATTGGACTTAATGTAATATTCTCAATGTAAGCAAAAAGATTTGAAGGTTTGAAATTTGAGATGAATTGACTAAGACGAAAAAGATGGATTCCCACGTTTGGCTTCCTCACTTGAGTTCTTATGACAAATTTGCATGTGGTATCAGCTATTACACCCAAGTGACAAAAGATGAAGTTTGGACAAAATCAAGAATTAAACTCAAGATTCCCTTAATTTGAACTTGTTTATGGTAAAGGAAAGGGAATGTGCACACACCAATCACATCAATTTTGATTATTCTAATTTGAATGTATTTATATCTATGTTGCATGCATTGGATGGCCATCTGTAAATAGAGAACATCTTTCTCCGTTGTTACTTTTTGAAAAGGTTGACATCCAAATTTAGAATCATTGTCATTCTGATAATAATTCTCATTTCCTTTTCGTATTTTACAATATGGAACTATTTTCCATAGTTGGAATGATCTCTGATGCATCTTTTTCCTGTAATTAGTGGGCCATGTGTCTCCTACATGCTTCGCAAAAGAGCTCTTTACAATGACATGTCAAGGTAGTTTTGGTTTATAAATTGTCCTATTTTGCTTATAAAATTTAAAGAATTGATACTAGTTTAAATTTCTTTCTTTTATAGGTATGTCTGTTGTGCGGGTTACTTGCCATGCAGTGGAAAATGTGGAGAAAGGCGATGCCCAGAGTTCTGCCTTTGCACTGAGGTATATGAAGCTTTTAATTCACTTCTAGTTAAGTGTTTTGGTTTCAGAAGCAAAGCACACCTAACCTTCTGTACTGTCATCATCATAAGGTTATCATAATTGATTGAAAATTTTCTCATTCTCTAAATCTAATCTGTAGTTATCTTAATGCAGTTCTTTGCCTCATCTTTGAAAGAAAAGAAATTGGATCTAAATCAGCACCAAATTGTTCTTTGAAAGAAGACCTTAACTCAATAGCAGACCTAAATTGGATATTAATGTCCAGATTAAACTGAACCAGTTGGACCTAAATGTAGTTTGTATTAATGCAAAATTCTTCTTGTCAATCCAGCTTGTAGTTACATGCTTCGACCTAATTTAACTTGACTCATTGGCCAAATAAGTTGGTCCTGATCTTGGTATGTTGACCAACTGTCTGATTGTTAGGTTCATGTTGGCTCTATAAATAATGACCACCCACTTTAAAAGTCAACCTGACCCATAAAAAACATTGACTGTACTATTAAATTATGTTAGAAGCTTCCAATAAAAGCCTCAACCTCATTGGATTCTGCATGCAATATTTCAAAAATTCTTCCAATATTTTTTCCTACCTATTTTTGACTTTCCTGTCTCACCTACCTACCTGGTGAATGGTGGTATGTCTTTTCCTCCTATGCAGCTAATATACTTGGATGACTGTACTCTATTGATTGACTGCTCTCCAATTGTCATGCGTGTCTGAAATTTTGTTCCTTTGCATCTTTATCTGATGACTTTCCTGCTTTTGTGTAGTGTTATGCCTCCTCACAGTATCAATTTTGGCTCAATGATGTGCTCATGTGTCACATTCTCTGTCTTTTTTTCTTAAGTTAATTGGGAGATCCCTTTCTTTTTCTCTCTCCCATAAATTAGAATGCCCTGCTTGTATATTTTATATCTTTATCACTGTTGTGTTTCATTTTGGTGCATTTCCTTGCATCTCTCCTACTAGGTAACTCTTCTGTATTTCTCAACTGAGGTGATTAGATCAAACTGATGCTTAAGCCATAACATTACAAAATTTGAAACCTAGTCTTATGTCCGTTGGCATTTTTTACTTGATAGTACTGCTGATCTAGCTCACATAATTCACAATTGTGTGTCCTCTTTAATATATGTATGGCATATCATAGAGCTTATATTCTGTGAGAACATCTGACAAGATTTAATGGTTTAGTGTCATTTGCATTTTAAACGAGTTTGCTTTATAAGGTGTTTCAGAATGATTGTCAATGTACTCTGCTTGTCTTTCTTCACACGGTAGAAAATTTGGCTAATGAATATCTTCAAGACTGTTATATGTCAACTAGCATGATTGGTACTTGATCCAAATGGTTACTTTGTATATTTATTTTGCAGGTCTTTTTGTGCTTTGGCAATTCTGTTGCTTCAACTCGCTTCTTACTCCAGGATGAGTTCAACATACAGACTACTCAATGCGATAACTGCATTATTGTATTTCCTCCATCTCTTCCTCTCTGTCCATTTCATGTAACCAGTGGTGGGCCAGCCCATCTGCTTTGGTCTAACGTGAACTTCCAGGCTTCATGGGCTGTGACTGTCCATAATTGAGGCCTGTTTCAGATCCATTACCAGCCATAAAGAATTTTTTTTTAATGTGAAATCAGCTGTTAAGTCCTAAATTATGCTTGCTTATGTGAATTAATTTAACTGCAGGGATTCATGTTTTGTCTGCAACAAGTTGCTTGTATCTTTTCCATCGTTGCGATGATTGTCGGAAGTGAGGAGATCCAAGAAGCTTCCCAGATATTATCCTGTATGTCTGACTTCGTGTACTGCACGTAAGACCCATGTTCCTTTGCACTCTTGCTTTTTAGTTCATGTTGAGTGATATTTAAGACCTCATCTTTTTTCACTTGCAATCCCTTTGCAGGGTCTGCGCGTGCATGCAGGTATGTGTACATCAGATTTGTCTCCATCCCATTGCTTTCCTGCCCTACCGAGTACCACTAATCAAAGTTTCATGGCATGGTTGCAGACACAACATAAGGTCGAGATGGACAAGAGAGATGGCAAGTTTGGACCACCGCCAGCGATGGCTGTGCCACCAGTCCAGCAGATGTCTCGCATTGATCAACCCATTCCACCTCCTGCTGGATATGCCCCGCAGCCAGCTTACGGGCAACCATATGGTTATCCTCCTCCTGCATATCCCCCGACCGGCTACCCGCCGGCTTATCCACCTGGTTCATACCCACCAGCGGGATCATATCCGCCACCTGGTTCTTACCCTGCACCTGGTTATCCCCCTACTGGATATCCCAAGTAAAATCCATCCATCGGAAAGCCATTCTGTCTTGTTCGCTAGTGAGTATGCCCCTCTCTAGTAGGTTCTTTTAAACAATTACTGTCATTTATGTTGTAATTGGTTGCTAGACGACATGTTTATATATACATTGGTAAGCATTTGGTGACATTCTCAGTCTAGTCGTGCCGTTGCACAAGTTTGTTGGTTGAAAAGTGTTGTTATTGTTGTGGCCTTTAACTTCAATATTTCTACCTTCACATCCTATGTTGTCATGTTGAGACACCCTTTAATATCTTTCCCGTTGCTGTTTCTATTGGATCAAAATGCCAATAATGATCAGTACGCTTTACACTCCCTGTCCTTTGTGATGCAATTAGGCTCGTGAATTGTGATTTAAATGGAACCTGAAGAAGTAAACCCTGATGTTTTTGGTCATTGTGTTTTTGAAGAGTCAAACAATGAGGTTTGCTTGGGTAAAAAAGTTCAAAGCTTTTGCATGGTAGAAAGCTGATGGTTAGATTCCAAATTGCCCCTCTTGATCCTTTCTTATATATGGATATTAATATAAAAAAAATATCTCACGGTTTAGATAAATCCAACTAAGTTCATAATATTTAATTTTTAAAAAATTTAATTTATCAACATATCATTCTCCTTTATTATATTACTAAAATATTTTATAATATAATTTATATATTTGAAACAAAAAACATTAAACTCATGATTCAATTAGTTCGATTACTGATCTTATCGAGTTAATATCTGATCTGATTCTTAATAATCATGATTCAATGGTTGTGGTCATTCTACTTCCCAATCACAAAAACATCGCCACAAAAGTCTGCTCTCCCGCCGGTCACCATCAACCCGGTGCAATGCACGCACGCCCTCGGCCACATAAGCAGGTGCAATGTACGAGCCCGGCTGCGTTGACAGATGCAACGCACCTCTCGCGCTGTCACGCGTCCGACAACGCTACGTGGTCCGCCATCGCCAACCCATCTCCGACTCTTCAACGCTTGTGAACCGCCGGCAACCCCGCCAAAGAAAGGCACTCTGCTCTCACCGTCCGGTGACGCGAGCAGGACGTCAAATCCACGAGCAGGACTCTCCGCGTTGTATGCGTCTTCGGCGATAAACGATGATGGCAGCAAATCATCTACAGGAATTCTGTGGATCGTCTCCTCCATACGTTATATGGACCTTCTAAGACATTTCGTCGAACACTCGCATGACTAAAAAACATTAGATTATTTGACTCTTAAGTTGATAGAATGATGCTGAGAAGATAACTTATGCTCGACCACATGTTTAGTAAAGTGGGAGCAAAAGGCACATCTTTGGATTCGACGTAGATCCATTCGTACTATTTGATGGTAACATGATTGATGTATATATATACATGGGATCGTCGAGGAAAACGTGATCTACGCACATTGGAAAAGGATAGGATAGTCTTCATCAAAGAAACATTTGTGAGACGCACGGATCATGAGAAACAAATGGGAAGATTTCGATCCATTATTTTTCTTGGATGTTAGTTGATTGAATTCACTTGGGAACCAAATGCGATGAGTCAAGTCCGAAGTTATGATTAACTATAACTATGTATTATATATTTAGACATTATACCTATAAATATAATAGCTAGACTACGTTAGACAATTAGTATTAACAATACAAGATAAACAAAAATCTAAATTGTAAAAAAAATATAAATAAAATTTAAACATTTTTTTTAATGAATATTGAAATTTCTTAATCTATTTGATAGATCATACATAGGTTATTGTTGTTGTTTTATAAATATATGAATATGACAGAAAATTATAGATATAAACAAGGATGATTTTCTTTAAAAAATTTTTTTGGGGATAATGCTTTTCATTTTTAATATTTTTTATTTGATGTTTAATTTCTCTCTAACACCATAAATAACTCTTGTCATCGCTCGATCACCTTTGTCCCATTGTCTTCCGTAATAAGCCCCTGAATTATTGGATCCCATGGACGAGATCCAATAAGAGCCATTGAGAGATTATTGGATAGAGATCTACTAATCTAAAAGGCTTGAGTTATTGGATGCAGATCCAATACCCACTAAGGGAGGATCCATTAGGGTTTGACAAGGGACCTCTATAAATAGGAGGTATTCAGAGCCTCATAGGCTCTGGAGTTTCGAGGAGCGTCGTCACAACCCCGCTAGAGAGGACACTTGACCTCCTTCACCCTCTCCTAAAGATTTACAAGGAAACAGGGATATACGATCTCCTTAGGTAACACAATCTACTCTATACGTAGTTTTAAGTTTTGCAGATTTTGTGCACCAATTTTCGCACGACGACGAACATCTCTTTGCGAATCGGGGATTTTATTCTTGTTCTTCCGCTGCGTATGTGATGTCGCCCCCAAAGATTTCCCAACAATCATCACATGTCAAGTCTTCCTCATATATCATGTTCATTGACCTTGATGGGAGAAGAAGGAGAAAATTGATAGTGAGGTTTTTCCTCCCTCATCTCCCTTATGGCCCATCACATCAAGTCATGTGATCGAGGACAATGATAATGGCACGAAAAGACTAGGGTTGGTCCACTAAGTCGAAGGTAAAATGATGAATTTTCTTCGATAATATAAGAGAAGTAAACGAGAGAGGAGGGACGGAAAGCTCCTTCGTAAAGGTCTTCTTTACCTCCTCATTTGACAATCAAAGTGAGGGAAGATGATGAAGTCTTGTGGTGAGACGAAGGTAGCCAAAGATGATGACAAAAGATGTTTAGTATAACAAAAATAAAAATATTAAATATAAAAAATTAAAAATTGGCATCATTCTGAAAAAAATAAATAAAAAGGGATTAAAAAAAAAGAAATCGTCGAATAAATAATGTGTCTGATATTGTTAGGACTACTTACTGAACGAGGAAGGGTAGGAGAAAGTAATCTTTTACCACTGAGTTCCAGAATCACTGCAACTATCCAGAAGAGAACAGAAACATATTGATTGCGGCGGCTAAGAAGGGAGGATAAAGAAAAGGGACAAGAAGCCCCACTCTTCGCGAAGGGAGAAGTGTGGGGACTACTACATGCTGGGGGGAAGAGAGAGAGAGTCCATTGTTAATTCATGACGAAGGCCTTGGATGGAATGGTGACCTTTAAATGGCACCCAACAACCGTAAGAAAACAAGTGTGGTTGCCTAACCCTTGTTGTTGTAGGCCATCAAAGGTCTCCCACTTGCCTGCGAAATGGGAAGGAGAAAGAGAAAGAGAGAGAGAGAAGTTAAGTCGACGTACGAGGTGGCTTATGACAAGCAATAGATAGATAGATTAGATACAGGAAAAGGAGCTGTCGTACGAGGCGGCGGATGACAAACACTAGAGAGAGAGAGAGAACAGGTTTTTGGAGGAGCAGAAGTTGAATAGAGGGTTGATGACAAGCTGTAAAGAGAGAGACAGGGGTTGACGTACGAGGCGGCTGATGGCAAGCATCAAAATCTGAGGTCACGCTGGTGAGCAACTCAGAGTGGATAGGGTTAGATAAGGAATCCAATCTTGCATCTTTTAGCACAAAAGCCGGATTTGCTCCAAAGGATCGATTGTAGTAACTCCAGCAACACTGCGACAACAGATTGCCTAATAGGTGAGGATAAGGAGAGAAGAGAGCAATTGGAAGAACAAAAACTAGGGATTCATCATCGAAGAAGAAACCAATCATGGATAATTAAATGGTTTATTCAAGCAGATCTTCATGAGTTCTTTAGTATCCTATTGATGTTAAGCTCTACCACAAGATTCTATTAATTTTTTGGAAGTCTTCAGCTCTATTTTGTTAAATATTTATTGATGAATTCTGATTTTTTATTTATTGTGAACAATTATGTTCTTAACCAAACACTGTTCTTTATATAAAGTATAGGATATCCTTAATTGATATAAGAAGAATATGTTAGCTTTTAGAGAATTTAATTGAATTATGATTCAAATTATCAATCAATGGAAAAGAAATTTACTTATGTTAGAATGTGTTAAGAGATTATCTCGATGAGAACGAGTCTTTTGATTACCTTTCCTAGACCCTCTATTTTCATAGATAAAATCTTCTAAGAATCGTATCATCATAAAGGTTTTTTTTCTCACAATCATATTACCTCTACTCCAACAATTACAATATTCCTGAAAAGGAAGAAAGAAGAAAAAAGAGTCTATCTTCTTTTGTGTGCAGATTATCATATTCAAATGGTACATACCATCTTTACGATACTTGATTTTAATCATAACATAAAATTTTCATATAATAATTTTATTTCTTACAATTTGTATGAGATTATCATAGATTGTTAAAGAATTTAGATCTTAATGTTTAGATCTGTCTTAGATATGTTTAAATTATATCATATTATTTTATTTTTATTTCTATCATATGATGCTTGTATCGTATGATTATATTACATCGCCTTTATGCCTTTAGGATGTTGTATGCATTCATGCCCGTCTTCCCCTCTATAGTATTCATATGCCCATCTTCCTCGTGAATGTCTTGCATTTACGTGTCGTCAACCTCAATAGGAATTGCGGTTTGTTATCAATGGGTTATGGGTTAAAAATATTGATCAGTGTTTATATCTGAAGATTAATGGGAGTCAGTTATTATATTATATTTTATATATATATATATATATATATATATATATATATATATATATATGATATTATACTTGTCAATATTAATTTTGATTTATTATATAGAACAAAAAAAAATTTCACTAAGAATTTTAATATGATTAAGATAACTTATCTTATTGATATAGAGATAGTTAGGGATCCATCTTAATAATTACTAAGACTATCTTAGAAAGATTTAGTATATAGTTTTGTTCACAAATGATAAAACTTTATGATTCAATAAGTCAGTAATCTCTAAACTTAACTTTAAAAAATTAAATAAAAAATATTTTTTATGCATAAATAATTATAAGTATATTATATGTTCAAATTTATACTAGACCAAATATCAGTTTTATAGTTAGGATACTATATAGATATTAGAATTATCTAGAAATAAAATATTAAAAATTATAAAAGAATTAAATAAGATATCTATAAGAGACCAAAGGCTACATGCTCACATAGAAAAAAAATCAAATCGACTTAAAATGATGGTATTTTCATAT